GACGAGCAGTCGCTGCCCACGAACCACCCGTGCTGGGTTCGCACGAGCAGCTCCGGACCCCGTGTCGGCTTGGCGTGTTGGGGGGACGCGGTCAGGGCGCGCGCGCGCGGTTCCTCTGGGCTGCTCCCCGCCTTCTCCAGCCCGGTGCCCTCCGGAAGGGTTGAACCGCCAGGCGCCCACCATCTGCAGCCCGCGGGTCGGGGAGAAGGGCGAGCAGCCCCCGCCGTTGGGAACGGGAGCAGAAGGGTGGGCTTACCCCCCCAACTCTCCGCGTCCCGCCCTCTTTCTTCCCGGCCTCCCCTCTTAAGCAAACTTAGGTTAATTTTTCGGCCAGAGGGAGAAATGCTTTGGGGAAATAGGCTACTTTCCCAGTGAGGGAGGAAAGACATAATAAACACGCGGGGGGAGCCTGGCGGCGTGTGGGTGCCTGTGAGTTCTCCCCTTCCTTTCAGAAGACAGGGAAATCGGCGCTGGCAGTCCTGAGAGGAAGAGCCGCGGAACGGGCAGCCTGGACAAACTTGGCAGTTTCTCGCTTGTTGTTTATTATGGGATGGGGAGGCCTGCAAACTGCTGAACAACGGAGAGAGAGGTGTGGCAGCTTTGGTGGTGGTTGTTTTTTTTTCCCCCTCCACTTGGAAGCCCAGAGAAAATAAACAGGGAAGCCATAATCTGACACCTTTGATGGGTTGTGTTCGCAAATAACACGTGTACTGGAAGAGGAGAGTGGTATGATCTCCCCTTGGTGCTGATGTCTGCATTTGCACAATATATTCAGCCAGCTTTCCCCAAACTCAGCATCTTCTAGCTGTACAGATTTCATCTCTCAACATTCTTTGCTGTGGTTGTGATGCACAGGGAATTAATGTCCATATATCTGAAGGCTGCCCGGGTAGAAGATCACTTACTCATAGTCTACTGATTTAACCAAAGTAGCTAGGTACATACAAGGTACTGAACTATTACTGGCAGGATTAGTACAAGCCACAAACTGACCAATCATATTTTAGCCTGTGGATCCAACCCAGGGTCTAAAACCATGAAAGCTGGATTTTGGGGTCCCTAAGAGCGGGATTTCCCCTTTCCGTTCAAGGTAAATCAGTGGCTCTTACCCTAAATACTGCAAGGCTGGGCTTACATCTTATCCATTCCACAGGTATGACTCATATTTTAGGGCACTTCTTCCATCGACTGGAAGTATGTATGTCTGCCTGCAGAAAGGTAGTTCTGAAACAACCGCAAATGGAACAGCCTTTCTGTCTGGCTGTGGGCTATGGGAGTTGAAGCCCCTAGGTTGGCAAGTCTGGTGTAGAGAGTGTGATGCCATTTATATATCATGCAGATCCATAATATGGTTTGCTTGCTTTGGGTTTCATGTATTTGATAACCAAGCCAATTGTGGCTTATTCCACAAACCATAGGTAATACAGCAGAACTACATAATGAGACATCCAGTTGCTGTGTCTTCTTGGGAACTCTCAGTATGGGATAGATGACTATTTTAACCTTTCATTTTCCACCAAAGATTTCCAGATTGCATAAATGTTCATAATTGCAGAGCCTTTGGGCTCATTCAAATCCTCCAGGAGCTTAACTGAATGCATCCTGTTCTTGCTTTATCTTGGAGATTCTCAGCAGAGGCAATCTTGCTTTTTCTTGCAATATATTTTGAACTTGAGACTTTAATACTTTTCAAAACTGAAATCCTATGCTGTAAGGTAAAAAGGAAATAGATTTCTTCTTGTGGACCTGCATTTGTACATTATTACAGGCTGCAGATTCCCATTCCTTCTGCTAACACACTTGGTGGTTTGTAAAGCACAACATGCTTCACATGAATTCTGTAACGCTCAATTGTCTTCCTTTTGTCTGCCAGTTCTAAACATTGGCTTTTGGATGGAGCTTTTCCGAACAACATACACGAAATAAGTTCTCAAAGAGGCCTGTGTAATTCTGCAATTCAGTCTGCATGGGTGTAGTCCATGCATAGGTCTCTCATCTAACACAAGCCATATAAAGTCAGCATCCCTAAGGTGTTCAAACTGGATCACGTCTTGCACTACAGTTTATTTCGTAGACCCAAGTAGAAGAAGTGTCTCTGCTGGAGTGGGGCTTACCTGTCAGCTTTTTGTGCTGCAGCATGTATGTCTGGTCCTTTTTAACGACCTTCAGACGGGCCTGGTTGCAAGCAGCAGCCAAGGATAGTTTTCTTGGCTAATGCCCAGCACACTGAAGTTACTCTTGCAGATGAACTGTGGTGGTCATGCTGATGAATCAGGGTGTTTGTAAATATCTCAGTGAACAGTTTGTAGGCACTGAGAAATGGACCCTTCTAGATGTGAGAAAAGTGGCTGTTTTGCAAAGGTTTTTCAGTCTGTCTTCTTGTTTCTCTACCTCCCCCCCCCCCAGATTTGTTTCATTATAAGAAGGAAAGATGTTGGTTAATTTTAGACTTGAGTCTGTGGGCAGAGAACTATCACTCTCCATTTTACTGTTCAACACCTCGTAATTTTAGATGCTTTATAAATAAAGTATGATGATGGCTTCAACTGCTGGGCTTGATAGACTTTTTTGTCTGAGCCATCAGGCTTCTTACCCTCCAATCCAACCAGGATGAAAAAAAAAAAGAGCAATGAAAAAGCAGCATAAGGAAAATGTTGGGGATGGGGAAGGGAAATTATTCTTTTCTCTCATTTTCCCCTGAAGTCTTTGCAGTCATTTTCCTGCTTGTTTCTTCTGAAGAGCCCTCTTAGAGTGACCTCAAATCCAGAGAAAGGCAAACATTTCCATGAGCTGAGCTTAATTGATGACTTCCTGGGTAGTTTCTTGACATTGGGAACAGTACAGAAGCAGTTTGCCATCACCGTCTTCCTATTACAGTAGGTTTTTTTCACTTCCTAAACTAAGATGCAGTCCTGGGATGGCGTTCCATCTCCCATCCAAATGCCAGCCAGGTCTGACCCTCCCTATCTTTTGCAATCAGCTTAGGTTTACCAAATCATGCCTCATGTTAGACCAGACTCCAGAAGCAAGACGCACATGTTGTTTTCCTCAGTTGTTGCTTCCCAACAGTTATATTTTAATGACTGGTTTTATTGGTATTGTTTTATACTCTGCATTTTTTAATGGCTGTAAACTGCCTTGAGGATTATTCGGAACAGAAAGGCGGGGAGTAAATTCAGTAATTAATAAAAAAAAAACCCTCTGAACATAGGCTTTCTGTTTTGCAGTAGTGGCCATGGCAGCAGAGGAGTTCTGCTCCATTAGTTTCAGTCTTTCTTCTGTTCATTTGTCTGATTACCTTTTAAAGTTAGCTAAGCCTGGGGCCATCGCCACTCCTGATGGTGGTAAATTCCCTCAGATAGCTTTTGTATTGCACGAAGGAATACAGTTTTTGGTCTGTTTTGCATCTACAAGCCAGCCACTTTCATTGGGTGATTCTGAACGGTTAATATAATAGCAGGAAGTTCTCTCTAGCCTTTTTCAATGATGAATATAGTATTTTCACAAGCCACTATCTTATTCCTTTTTTTTCAAAAGAAAAGTAATACATGTTTTAGTGTTTCCCAAACAAAATATATTCCAAAATATATTCCAACCCCTGGACGGTTGGTGAGTCATTTTCTGCATGGCTTTCTATCTCTGAATTGGGATAGACCAAACTAAGGTTAGATTGTTAAGTTGCTTTGTATTTGTGGGTATATGCATGTACATCCATAAACCCTTTAATAGCTAAGTCAGATTTATGGCTTTCTTTGTTCTATGCAGGATGCAGCAGTTCTTTCCCCAGGTACACAAACACATTTATGTCTAATTACTGTTGTGCTTTGTTCCTTAGCACTAGAGCTCAGGAGGTAGAAACTGAAGGAAAGCAGTTTTTGGCTAAATTTTAAGGGGGAAAAAAACAATTGGCTGACAGGAGATTATCTCTGGAAATTTGGCGGGGGTGTGTGTTTAATGCTGGAATGCCATTGCATTCAGTTCCTGCATTAAAATGGAGGCTAGATCGGATGGTCTCATCTAAAGGGTTCAGGACAGTGTTTCTCAACTTTGGTGGCTGGGAAATTCTGGGAGCTGAAGTCCACACATCTTCAAGCTGCCAAAGATGAGAAGCACTGGCTTGGGAGAATGAAAGATTAAATGAATCATGTTGTGCAATAAAAATTAAGTGAGCCTGATATTGACACGATGATCTCATGTTTTAAGAGGAGGGTGTGCTTGAAGGCATTCTTCATGTGGTATTTGAAGTGGTAGGATTCAGTTGTTACAGTCAAATCAGCGACTAACAGAAATACAAATGGGAGGAGAACGCCAAGACTATGTTGCTCCTGTAAGAGTGCTTAAGAAACTAATAGAAATCTCACCTTGGACACAGGGGCATTCTTCACTTGCCTGTCCCTTTTCCTTAATAGTTCCCATGATGGCATTCATCGCCCATGTGTACAATGGCATCTTCCCATTTTGAATGAATGGCACATGAGCAATGTTGTCCTGGGTTATCTCACAGTCAGCCTGATCAGAAATAATTGTGAGGCATGATCTACTCCTGAGGGTTTTGTCAACCTTGTTTTTAAAGATCGATTGATTATGTGCTGTCAAGTCATTTTTGACTCCTAGCAACCACAGAGATTGTAAAGATTGGATGACTTTAAAAGGGCCTCTGGATAACTCTGAAGGGCTTTGGAGTGGCTTCTTCTATAATTTAGGCACAGTTTCCAGTGGTACGTGCCTTTTGAGTGCTACGCGGGGGGCTGCATTCCAAAAAGGAGTAGATGAAGCTAGGAAAAGCCTAGATTTAATTTATTTTAATTAAAATTAAATACAGTGAATCTCTTATTTACTCTGTAGCCATTTTTTTATACTTTCTCCTGTTATATTAAAAATTATAGTTCAGTGTGAATCAGCAAATGATTTGGTGATTCATACTGTGTTGACCATGGTTCTTGATATTTATCCTAGCTTAGAGCTTTGATTTTTGGTTCCTTAAAGTAACATATTCAATTATTCATAATTAATGATGTATGGAAAATTATAACAACTCGGATGTTTTTAGATCCCTTCTGTATTTACTTGTGCTTTACCTTTTAAAATTCTCTTTACTTGTTTTTTATCTGTATAGTTTATGAATCTTCTCTAAAACTTTTAATTACAAAAACCAAGCAAACAAACATTACAATTCAGCAACTTTTAAAGAGTGGGAACAGTCCTAAAGGCTTTCAGAGTTGCATGCCCTGGTTGCACATCTGTGAGAAAGTGCTACCTCTGTAAATTGCTGAAAAAGTTCTTTGAAGAATTCATGGATTCAGATGAACCCACTGGGTTGTCTTCTGAATGCATTAGATCAAGGTCTATGGCCAAAAAAAAAAAGTATATTATACATGCCCTTGAATTTAAGTTGTCAAAATGGATCGGATGCTGTTTGCAAGCAGGGGCTGGTGTCTTTAAAAAATCCTTCTAGATCAGATTGCCCTTTAAGAAACAGTAGATCCAAGGATGGAATCTTGGTAGCCTATCGTTGTCTAAGCAACAGAATACAAAGTCTGCTCTGGGGATCCAAGTTAATCTACCATTGCTTAACTCTGGTGTGGCTTCTGTGCTTTTCCGCAGGGAATAATAAGTAAAATAGGCAGTGAAGAATTAATCTGATGGAATACTAGGAGGTACGGAAAAACGTCTGGGTAATGGTTTGGTTCTTGAGAGGGGTTCTGTTGTTTGAGGCAGATTATTCTCCTTTATTCCATCCATGTTATTGCTGCATAGTGAATGGTGGGCTCATCTTGAGGAAGAAATTGGGAATGATTGCCAAATGACAAGAGCTAGTTCAGAGGACTGTTATCTGTTGAAGAAGTGACAGCTGGTATTGACTAAGTCCCATCCTTGTTCTGAATGCACTATACAATCTGGACCTACTCCCCCCAGCCAGCCACCCCCTCCAGTTTCCTGGTTCTGCTTTGCACCAGCAGCTTTCCGCTTCCTGTTTAAATTGGCTGAATGCTATTGGCTTGAATTGACTGTATATTATTACTCTGAGTAAATGCCAGGTTTTGCTGGTCTGGCTTAGGGCTTGTTGGCCTGGCTGCATGCACTGGTTCTAAGTTCTCACATCCTTTTACTATCTCTGATTCATTGCAGAAACTCTATTGAAATTGGAATCAGACAAATTCTGGGCTTCAGGAAATAAGGATTTACCATAGTTCTGCTGAATAGACAAAACTGCCTTTATGTCAGATAGGTATTTTTTTCATTTATGTTGGCACAGATAAGTATTTTTTTAAGATTTCTCAGATGGCCACCCTTATAACTGAAGAGTTAACAAGCTGGGTAGGCCCTCTTTCCTCTGGAGAGCAGCAATTTCAGATTTTTTGGGGGGTTTTGGTACAGTACTGCTTTATCCTTAATAAGAAGCACTTCATATTTCTAAATGAACTGGTGGAAGACTTGGAAAAAATGCTACCCCCAGATTAAAGAGCCAGGTGCTTCTTCAGATGTGGATTGAAATGTTGATTCATGGCTGCGTCTCTGCCAAATATCGACTCTTCAACTATCCTTCTTAAAAATCCCAGGAAGCTTGTTCCTGTGTCATGGAAGGCGCATGTCTTTCAGCATGAATGCAGAGCTGTAAGTTAAGAATTGGACCCTGATGCATTCAGCCATACAGGGGTACCACCAGTAAGGTCAGCTAAGGAATTCCATGCTGATTTCATGCCTTATTTTCATTGATGGTCAATAAGGCGGTTTGTGATGCACACTAGTTGTTAGAAAAGAAAGCTCAGTCTTGTCAATGTAGAGCAGTATTTCTCAACCTTGGCAGCTTTCAGATGTGTGGACTTCAACTCCCAGAATTCTGGCTGGCTGGGGAATTCTGGGAGTTGAAGTCCACACATTTGAAAGCTGCCAAGGTTGAGAAACACTGATGTAGAGTGTTTCCTTGGGAGTCGGTCTCAGCTGTAAAATGGGGACTGCTTAATGTACAATCAGGGTCTGTGTTTAGAGCTATTTTGTCTTCTGAACGTTAAGAGTCAGTGACCTAGGGGGAATGTGAATGTTGGCATTGGAACACATCCTGTCAAAGGAAACCATACGCATAGATTATTTTTTCATATTTTGAGCACTCATCAGACAATTCAGATGGTTCAGGGCATTCTGAGGTTTCCTCTTTTGTATTGCTGATGATACTTCTACCTCCTTTACAAAACATGGAAGCTGCTTAAGTTTAAGAAGTAAATATATAGATATTTCTGCATGGATTGAAGGAAATGTTTTACTGGATAAATAGCAGTTACTTGATTGGGCTTTATAGGAATAGCTGTGCAGGATCTAGCTCAGTGAAAACCTGTGAGGCTCAGGTGAGTCTTCTGAATTTTGCCATAATTTTTAGTAAGTGACAATTTTCCCATCTCCTAAAAGTAGCTGCATCGCTGTTTATTTGTAGAAGCTGCTTTCTTCATTGTAGGTGAACGATTCACCTACAATGGATGAAGAGATCCTCAGGTCTAGTTGTTATTTGTACATATTGTGCAGATCTTGAGGTACCTACTTTCAGAGAGAGGTAATTATGTGCTTTTTATTCCTCTCCGTTATTTGTAAATAGAGGTGGAACAGGTTGATTAAACAGAAACACTATTTACGCGCACTTACAAATCCATTTTCTTGCCACAACTCTTGTATTTTGTTCTTGCCCATATGTTTAGATAAGGACTTAAACCGTGTTAGTATAATGCTTACCGTCTTCCCCTTTCTCGATTGTTGGTAGATTGGATGATTTCATTCTCTCCTGCTGGATGGATGTGGTGGCTCCTTGGTGGAGCTTTTAAAGATAGCAGAGTGGAACAATAACCAGAATCGTTGTAAATCTTGCACTAAAGTGCTATTAAACTATTGCGTGCTAAACACAAGATTTTTTTCTTACCTACAAAGGCAGCCTATTATACTAAAATGAAAGTTAAGAGACACTCATTTTCTTTTTAGTAAAGGTTCCTCTCACAGTCAGGGAGACTAGTTAGAGAACTGCTGCCTTTTCCATCTAAAACTGGGAAGGCAGTAAATGCTGTAAAATAAATATTACTGCCACACCTGTATGTTTCCCATCACATGTATACAGCCCGCAAAAGAGCTCGCTGTAACACCCAAGTATATGTTGCAAAATTTTGCAAACTAGTTGGGTTTAAGATCATGTCTCATTTACTAAAGAGGGTGGGGGGGGAACCAACACTATGAGGTGGAAACATGAATCATAGTTTTGGTGTTTCCTCAGCTAAGTGCAGAATCTCAGGTTAATGTAGGATCACATGAGTCAAAATACTACATTATGCAGCTGCTTTACCATTGCATGAGTTGTAAACTCAGTGAGAAAGAAAGATTGTAATGCTATCTGTACCAAAGTCATTTTGCAAAGCAGGGGCTGTTTAGTGCTTTATTTAAGGACAGCACACCTGATCCCCTGTGAATTGGCTGCCTTGAGATTAAAGTGGATTGTGATGATTCTGGAAGTGTTCAAAACTCTAAGTACATGTTTGGTGTTTGAAACATTTCCAGAATGGTTAGAGTAGCTGTTTTAGTTGAAAATGTTTTACGTACACCCTAGTTAGTTCAATCTCCAAACCCAGAGCAGCACCTAGTCAACCTTGACTTGGACCTTGTGAAAGAGCAGGCCATTGAGCAACAATTGCAGGCCCCTCTGCTGCCTCCCTCCCATTTGAACCTTCTCCCCATTGTCAGTTCAGCAAAGTTGCTTACAAAAGCTGCAGCCTTGGCCCAGGTGTGAGAAGAAATGGGAGGGGAACAGAGGAGATTGTATGTTTTGGAAGCTCTGCAGCAGCAACAACAAACAGAAGAAGTGGCCAAATAAAAGAAGGTGGTTTGTCTTCACAGACTGAAGGAAGGAGGAAAAAGAAGAGGCATAGCAAAGCCAAGTCAAGCATAATGTTGGGAAAGTGCAGATCCCAGGGAGAGAGAGAGGATTTAAAGACAGACCAGGGTCTGTAAGAGTAAAACCCTGTTGTATACTAGTAATAGTAGTAGTATAATAGCAATAGTATACTAGTAATAGTATAATATAGCATAGAAGTAGAAGCAATAGTATAGAGTGTAGTATAGTGATAGTAGTAGAATATATATATATAATATAGTAGAGAACATTGTATAGTAGTATTAGTACAGGCAGTCCTTGACTTAAGACCATTCATTTAATGACAATTTGAAGTTAGTGGTGCTGAAAAAATGAGTTATGACTGGTCTTTGCGCTTACGACCATAGCAGCATCCCTGCAGTCACATGATCAAAATTTGGGACCTTGGCAACCAGCATGTATTTATGACAGTTGGAGTGACCTGGGGTCATGTGATTGCCATTTGCAACCTTCCCAGGGGGCTTCTGACAAGCAAAGTCAATAGGGGAAGCTGGATTCGCTTAATGACCATGACAAAAAGGTTGTAAAATCGGGTGCGACTCACTTAACGACAACATTGCTTAGTGATGGAAGTTCTGGTCCCAATTGTGGTCATAAGTTGAGGATTACCTGTAACAGAAATAAAGTATAGGCTAAGATAATAGCCATAGAAAGAACTTGCACATATATGTTTGTATATTTTACTTTTGTATCTTGTATAGTTCGTTTCAAAAGAAAACATCTCCCCAACCCTTATAGGGAGATATAAAAATCCGAGGGTCTGGGGTCCAGTGCTTTTGGTGAATCTTTGGAGTCTGAGTCAACCAGATCGGGTACAGTTTAAAAAGAACCTGTCACAGACTTAGGTAGCCTTTGGATGAGAGATCACAAGAAAATCAAAGAACCATCTTGGAGCAATCAAAGAAACAACTTGGAAAAAGATAGGGGCAAACCATTTTTTTTATTGGAGCCAAGACAAGTACATGAACATGTCCCTGAGATAACCAGAAATGAAACTTGACTTGAAGGAGATTTTTCTTTTTACCATCCTCAAAAGTTCAGGGGGAGTAATGTATCATGATATAAGACTGGGAAAGGTTTCTACTTGTGGGGATAGGACTACAGAGAACATCTCCTTTAAGAATGGGAGGGCAGCCTTCAGGTTTGCAAGATCAGATTATTATTATTATTATTATTATTATTATTATTATTATTATT